CATTGTTGCCAAGAGCCAGAGCAATTGCTGTATATGTGCACCAGAGAGGGGGGCATGGATATGGGGTGAGGGTTTATGACTGTAAATCTCTTTTCAGTAATTTCCATATGCTGTTGAAAAATGGGGCAGGACAGAAGTAGTGCAAGCACCTTGCTTGGTAATAACTAGCGCACAATTAAGGTTCAGATATATTTAATGCTATCACTTGATCGTTACAAGGACTAACCAGTTATTAGAAAGCACGTTTAAGTTGTGAAAGATGGTGCAGATTTATAGATGGTAGAATTTTGTTGCATATATGTTTAAATCAAAATAAGCCACTGAAACTGTTTTATACTTAAAAGTGAAATAAATGTGAACCTGAATTAAAAGTTTTCTTAAAATGTCAATGTTGTAAATCTAATTTTGAATATTTTCTCAGGCAGTACAGTTTCACTTGTAAAATGATTTTATTTTCATAATTGACTTTTGCTTTTAAAAGACTCACTGCTGCAGAAATCTATAACTATCCTGTTATTGATTACACAGATGGCTTCACTCCTCCCTTGGCATTTCAATGAAACACATGCGTGCGCTTTTAGTGTGTGTATTGTACCCATCGTAGCCTTTCAGTACTTTTAGATGAAAAAGCTATAACTGTGTTTGTGATTTGATCGGTATTGAGGGTCTGTGTTTGAACCTCGGGTGTCTGTCTGGTTGTGGAGTCTCTTTTAGACAAATCAGATAGACGGGATTATTTTTAGTTAGGTCCGGGAGGTTGTATTCTTTGGTAACGCTGTAAGAATAAAACTCTATGAAGCCCTTTGGGGAAGACTTCGTTTTGCAAAACCTGGTATGCAGCTTTTGCAGAACCCCTTGGGAGGGCTTGCCTTGCCTTCTGAAAGCGGACCAGGTGACCTGAATGCAGTTGCGGAGAGGAAGTTTATTTCTCTCCTCCTCGCTGCAGATACTTGGACCTCTTAGTCCTTTCTTATGTGGCTGGTGTGTCCATTACCTCGTCACCCATTCACTCTGTTGCCCTCAGTCCCTTTCTAAAGAACTGTCCGACCTTTTTTATTTTTATTTAAAAAAAAATCAAGTTGGATTTATTGCCTAGACTCTGTGCTCAGTGGTGAGGCGTTGGGATGAACAGTTGGAATTAAGCATACTCGATTCCGGGCACAGAGCTGTAGTCAACTTCTCAGTGGCAGGGACTTGGGGCGGCCTCGGGACCCCAGCCTTCCAGGGGGGATGCTTGGCTGCCAGGGGATCGGGCATCGCGAGCCCAGGCGCTCGGGGTTTCGTGCGTGGGGGAAGCCCAGACTCTGTCTGTGGGTACCTGGGCTGTTGCCCGTGGGTGACCCGGGCGCCCTGGGAAATACTACTGGGCGGAAGGGGCGCTTCGGTGCAGGGAGTTGTGTGACCAGCCAGGAAATTCTCCCCGGGGCCGTTGCGGGGCGGAGACTCGTGGCGGGGCTAGAGGTGCAAAGCTGCCCCCCTCCAGCCCTCGAGGTGGCCGCCTCTTAGCGCCCTCCTTGCCTCTGGTCCGTCGGCGGCCCTCGCGCGGTCGGCGAAGCCCGGGCGTGAGTGTGCGCAGACAGGCCCGAGGCTGGCCGCAGTCCCCCGCCCCCTGGGCCCGGGGCCTCACTGCGGGTCC